ACTGATCTCTGATGTAACTTACCGACCTTGTTTCATGCATTCCGTGCATTTAATTAGACAGTGTTCTGAGTTCGAATACTCAAGGATACTGAAAGGCACTGACCAATGCTGCAGCGGCGAAGTTCTGATGGGCTTATAACCTCTACGTCCAGGTCAAACCAATTTAATACTCGAGTGTGTTTATATCGTTGTTGTCCCAAAATGCAGGCACCTGATCCTTGTTCGTCCTTTCAAGGAATGTTCGGTCTATCAGCTACAAACCATGTACTAAATGTACGTTGGTTCCAGCGGCTAGTTTTCGGTCAGGGAAAAATGGGACACCGGAGACTATACATCCAAGCAACTGAAGCGGCAGCATAACCACATAGTTTGGATTGTATGTCGTACTCGTGAAACGGGAAACTGGGCAGCCCTCATTGAAGGCGACAGCTGTGGTGCAGCAAAGCGACCGACTATGATTCAGCCGTGTCTCACAGTCAACCACTGAGTGGAGTCCCGAGGACCCCGTTCACGGAAACGACAACTGTCAACTGAATTTGGCTCACTGGTTAGCGCTTCCAAATTTTGTTGCCACTTGTCTGTCGCTTCCATTCGGCAAAAGCTCAAGCAAAAAATCCCTACGGGGTAAGCGATGAAATGCAAGAAATGGCGCCTAATCGATGCTACTGACGTTTGTGCTGTGTTTCTTCCCCGATTGTCTGGCTGGGCGCTTGGAGGCACGTGTACCTCAGAATGCTTGACTTATGTTGCACAACGTCCCCCTCACCCAATCAGAGACCTTGGTCACGCCATCCGAATTCCGGAAATGAGTTGCCATCTCGGATCGGTGGTCAGGACAGTTCCGAAAGTCGCTCACTATTTGAGCGGCATTGTCAGCATTCAGAAGATTGTCCTCCTTGGAGAATCATAATCATCATTATATTAAAAGCCCTAGAGCGAACAGAAGAGAAAAAGGGTGGATGAGGGAGGGGACCTAGTGTTAACCTATTTCAAGCATTCTGAGGCGCTACATCTCGAACCGCTCAATCAGACTATATGAGAAGAAACTGACACCAACAACAACCACTCTTCGTTATCCCTTTCAGGCCTTTCTGCCAAGTTACTTCACGGTTTGCGCCATCCTGAAGAAGGCACGGAGAACAATACTCATCTCGATAGACGGCGTTTTGGCATGCGTAGCACGACCCTAATCGTGAACCGTTGGTAATTTTTGCAGTTCTTCACCTCGCTTACTGATCTCTGATGTAACTTACCGACCTTGTTTCATGCATTCCGTGCATTTAATTAGACAGTGTTCTGAGTTCGAATACTCAAGGATACTGAAAGGCACTGACCAATGCTGCAGCGGCGAAGTTCTGATGGGCTTATAACCTCTACGTCCAGGTCAAACCAATTTAATACTCGAGTGTGTTTATATCGTTGTTGTCCCAAAATGCAGGCACCTGATCCTTGTTCGTCCTTTCAAGGAATGTTCGGTCTATCAGCTACAAACCATGTACTAAATGTACGTTGGTTCCAGCGGCTAGTTTTCGGTCAGGGAAAAATGGGACACCGGAGACTATACATCCAAGCAACTGAAGCGGCAGCATAACCACATAGTTTGGATTGTATGTCGTACTCGTGAAACGGGAAACTGGGCAGCCCTCATTGAAGGCGACAGCTGTGGTGCAGCAAAGCGACCGACTATGATTCAGCCGTGTCTCACAGTCAACCACTGAGTGGAGTCCCGAGGACCCCGTTCACGGAAACGACAACTGTCAACTGAATTTGGCTCACTGGTTAGCGCTTCCAAATTTTGTTGCCACTTGTCTGTCGCTTCCATTCGGCAAAAGCTCAAGCAAAAAATCCCTACGGGGTAAGCGATGAAATGCAAGAAATGGCGCCTAATCGATGCTACTGACGTTTGTGCTGTGTTTCTTCCCCGATTGTCTGGCTGGGCGCTTGGAGGCACGTGTACCTCAGAATGCTTGACTTATGTTGCACAACGTCCCCCTCACCCAATCAGAGACCTTGGTCACGCCATCCGAATTCCGGAAATGAGATGCCATCTCGGATCGGTGGTCAGGAGAGTTCTGAAAGTCGCTCGCTATTTGAGCGGCATTGTCAGCATTCAGAAGATTGTCCTCCTTGGAGAATCATAATCATCATTATATTAAAAGCCCTAGAGCGAACAGAAGAGAAAAAGGGTGGATGAGGGAGGGGACCTAGTGTTAACCTATTTCAAGCATTCTGAGGCGCTACATCTCGAACCGCTCAATCAGACTATATGAGAAGAAACTGACACCAACAACAACCACTCTTCGTTATCCCTTTCAGGCCTTTCTGCCAAGTTACTTCACGGTTTGCGCCATCCTGAAGAAGGCACGGAGAACAATACTCGTCTCGATAGACGGCGTTTTGGCATGCGTAGCACACGACCGAGCCACTGTAGTCGATGGTGCTGGATGCTTTCTCGGATTGAAGTGCGTGCAGAACCACCAAATACCTGTTTGCTAAGCACCTCGTAACTGACATGCTGAAGCCATCCAAAACCAGCTACGCTTCTGAGGCATCAGTCGTCGAAAACGCCTCACATCAACTGTTCGCAGAGACCATATCTCGCACCCATACAACAACAGACCTCACTGTAGCCTGGTACACACGACATTTAAGATCCAGTGAGACGCCTTTTTGACGCCACAAGTGACGCAAACTTGCAAACGTGAATCGAGCCTTTGAGACTTGGCTTATTCGAGCAGCGGACCTGAGACAGTCGCTGTCTCAGAACCATAGCTCGTGTGGGTTGGTGTCGGCGAATCCGTAACGAGGCAGTTAGAAAGTGCGTTTTCGGTTGTGTAACGGGTACTTTCATTCGCATGATCCTCACTGTGCCTGGTTGGAGACACTACAAGATATGGCTGCCAACCGATGTCAGTGGCGTTCTTGTTGTCAGTTTCTGTCCATATTGCCTGAGTGAATGTCTGGAGGTGTAGGCACCTCAGAATGATTGTGTTAAGCTAGCACTAAGTCCCTCCCCCATCCATCTTTATTCTTTTCTTTACAATAAGGCTTTCAAATAAGTCATGGTTGTACGGCAGTGAAGCATCGGTGTTGAACACTGATGTCATGCTGTCGATGATGATGATGAGCCTTTGAGATTCTTACACTGACTTCATCAGACATACTTCCGTCAGAGCTAATACAACTACCGAGGCATGTAAAGTTTTCCACCAGTTCCAGTGATTCTCCTTGAAGTGTAAGGGATATGTTCGCAGATAGCACGTTCTGAAGCATGACTTAGCATTTTGAAGGTGCAAGGCGCATGCCAAAGGATGGTATGATGGTGGTCAGTTTGTTCAACAAGGCTTGTGCTTCACTTTGGTCTTCAAAGATGACGGCGATGTCATCTGCGTACTCCAAATCGACAACGCTCTCACCAGCGACAATTTGAACACCGGGTTTTTGAAGACTGTCCAGTGTTCGCCTCATTAATTCATCAATGACGAAGCTGAACAAGACTTGAGTATATATCCTTGTCTGACACTTTTTGCAGAGCTTTTGGAGAGCTCACCATAAACTTTCACCCGCCGATGTATGTGGATATAGGAATCGCATTGCCGAAAAAATTCTGGGGCATACCCTGTTGAGCATGTGTAGTTTACGGAACTCATCGACCAACAGAATCAAACGCACCCTTGAAGTCAAGGAACGCCAGGATTGTGAGTCACCTCTACATGTGGACAACCGGACGACGTAAAGACGCCGACCCACTAAAACCCAACCCAACAGAGCGCGTCCAACTACAGGGCTGAGTGTAACCCCAACGCCATAAATTCCATGAATCAGCGCTCCATGGAGTGAAATATGGAAGACCTGAGTTCGTCCTTGACGCCTCAAGATACATGACTTGAGTCGTGCATGCATGTTTTATAGACATCAGTTATGGGGGAGTGTGGGCAACCTTCGCCTACTTGCCAACTTGACCAATCCAAGATCCTATGTAGAAAAGATCCCGTGGATTTCACAGGCATTTTATCTATTGTTAGTGGGCAGCGGCGTGTATAACACACATCGGTCAGATAACTGGCAACCAGATGGTCCGGCAACGTTTGCCTGTAGGGTTGGAAGGGACTGAGGAAATCGGAAAGCAATGAATTGGGTGCACAAATGAAACTTCCTGGTTGCCAAGGCCGATGATGAGTGTTTAACTAATTATCCCACTTGAAACCTATGACTGAAAAATCTGACCCACAAGGAAGCAGTATGCGGGATTTCGTTCAGGGACTCTGCTCCTGATCCAGGAGGCGCCGTGGGTTTTTTTTGGGGATCATGCCGGGAGCCAATGATACAACAGTCTGACAAGCTCGGCTTTAGGGGGTTGCTTTACACGAGAGCATATGGAATAAGGAATATGTCACTCCCACTGCTGCCACGCATTGCATATGCATCGGAGGCTGCACCGAGCTCATAAAGGTGCAGCTCTTTCCTAGCGTATTGGATCTCATCTTCCGGTATTTCCATTGGGACGTGCGGGCTGCGTCGCGGAAGCAATTTACATCCTCCAAGATTCCACAGCAAAGGACGGTACAACTTTCACCCCGATCGTCTCAGATTACGGGGTCTCACTGGCCTAGACAGGGGAAGTTGAGATGCAGAGGCCAGGTTCGAACCACGGAACTTCCGGTCAGTAGATTCATACACTAACCACCGAGCCATCTCACCCAGCATAACCACAAGCGTTCCACAGATTCACGGGTTGATACATAGGATTGAGGCTTACGCTCAAGTTTTCCGGGTCGGTTTTGTTCTTGCGGAGGCACCCGTACTGAAATGCCTAATCAAACAAGTTGGAAAGAATCCAACAGCTCCATCAATGGTCCTCGACCTTTCCAGTCAAGCAGTCTTGGTTACGGCGTCTCCATTCAGGAAGGCAGGCATCAACACAATGCTGCCAAGCAATGTTATTCATTGTACAATTTACGACCCGTCACTTTGTAATCGGCTTCTGTTGAACCAGAAAATGTGAATAAATGCTTGTATTGCAATGGTCGCCCGTTGGGCTACAGAAGTACAAATAATTGTGGATGGGGTCTCAAATGGCAGTAGTTAATCTTAGGTAGCGAGTCATTGACGCTTAGCTCAATCCTCCCAGTCTAACAACCGCCGGTTTGTGCCTGGAAAACTTCGATTGTGTCGTTTTCTTCCATCTCCAACTAGGTAATGGACAAACGGTTAATCGGTCCTTAATAACCAACAACCTACAGATGCAGGAGTGTGGGTGTCGTGGACATTGTTTCCGTCAAAAATGAATCGAACAGACATCGGCTGGTACCCCTTCATTTCATAATGTTATCCAGAGAATTCAACATACCATCCTCTCGCAGTATGCATTCATAAGCTTCCGCAGAGGAGTGGTCTTCTTGATTTTGAAGTGCACAATTGAACCTTCTTGTCCTTGAACTTTCAAGTTGATATGTTCAGACGAGGGATCCTGTGATGAAAATAACAAATGAGATAAATGTCCATTCAAAAGGAGGTGAGTAAGAGTATCTTAATTACTTTGTTTGTTGTTGCCGTACTGTCACCCATATTTCAAAATCGAAGTCGCGCCTAAAGTTAACTAGCGCGGTCAGCAGGCATAAACGAAGAAACACGGAATCGAGTTCGTGGGTGCACCGAGTGGGAAAATTTCGGTTCAATCTAAATTGATGCCCGCGGCACAGAAAAAGCCGGACTAAGTGCTTCTAAAGTTCTCTTAGTGCCTCATAAACACTGGGGGGAATATTCCCGTGCTAGTAAATGCGCTAGAAGTGAGTTCACAAATGAAGGTGGGCGCACTATCAAGCCAAACGCATGTGAATGGGTTCCTCCAAAAAATTAATATAAACAAGGAAAAATTGTCGAAACATATTGCTCCAAATAATTTGAGTTTGTCCATGCTTATCCGGAATTGGCGATTTTCTCCAAAAAAGTGGCTAGAAGCATAGATTTTGCGTTGAAACGAAACACATGAAGGTAAACATGACGGTAATCTGTCCCACTCCTGTAAATTTGCGTAAATTAGCATTTGTTCTTAATTATTGCACAAGTGCGCTTTTAAAGCTGCACTTGCACGAGTAGAACTAGCCGAAATCTTGTGGAGAAAAAAGTTCTTGAATACCACGATTTTTTCCGGGGTTGATGTCTTGTGCGTAAAATGTACACTAACGCATTTTTCTCAATCCTTCGTGTGGGAAGTTTGTCATTGCGTACGATATTTTGAGGCTGAACCATAACCCGAATTAGAAAGTGGTGCTTAATGAAACATAAAACTACACGACGG